TCAGCCTGTATCCACAACAGAGCTGTGTGCATAGAGAGAGAGAGAGAGCGATACAGAGACAGAGAGAGAGAGAAAGAGAGGGAGCTCAGTGGGTGAGGGAGGTGTGAGGGAGGGCAGGATGGATGTGTTTGATGGTTGACCTGACTAGAAGATTGGGAGCAGGGATCTGAGATCAGCTACACGGGTTCTGCCTTAAGCAAACACATGAACACAGGTATGTGTACACAGTCTGACGTTTTGTACTACACATTAACACATGTCCAAAAAAAACGTTAAACAACTCACAAGAACAAGTTCTAGGAAAGCCCCTCCACTTTAAAACTTTTACACCTGGAATTGGTATTCAAACAGAACAGAATCACCAGAAGTTGGAACACATAACACAACAGGTTGCTTTTACTGCGGCAGAACACTTTGCTTATACTAACATGTGTGCACACAGGTCAAAGACTTTTCTCTACCACTCACACACGGACATACACACCAAAATACAGATATGGCATCTAGCCAATTTGTTCCCTGCAGCAAGCAGGTGAGCTGCCCTCCTGCCCTGGTCATTGACCTCTCCTCTGACCAAGTTCAGAGGTTAATCAAGTCCCTACCTGTCCTTGGATATGCTGAGCCTTACTTCTTGGCACGACCAAGGGTCAAAGGTCGAATAAACCCTGTCTGTATAATTGCTTGTGGGCCACAAATTGGGGCAAAGGGGTGAAGGTGACAAAGAGCAAAGACCCAGTCCAATAGAGAAACACTGCAGCAGCATGTCAAATGCAATTACCAGTGTGTGTGTGCCTGTGTGTCCACACCTTAATGTTTATAATCAAGTTTTGGTGTGTTGATGTCAGTGTGTGAGTGTACGTTAGTGAATGCTCAGGACATTTTGGAGTATAGTGTGAACATGGTGAAACAGGACATCAGCTGCTTAACACAGACAAGGACAAGGATCCGAGCCAGCCCCTGTGGACAGCTGCAGCTGGGAATAATGGGTCTCGGAGTAGCATGGCCTAAATAATGGATGCTCCTTCCTTTAGGAAACATACAAAGTACAACCCACAAAAGTCAGATAAGTATGTGGAGAACAAGACCCCTTCCATGGCACAAGAAGGGCCACCAAGACCTGTTACAATACCAGCCCCCTGGATCTACCCTGATGATAAAAAAAATGATAGGTACATACATTTACTATAAGGGGATAAAACATTACTGCAAATCTAGTACTCTTAGTAGCAAAAAAAATGTTTTCTCCTTTGGTTGTTTGGTTGTAAAGAAAAAATCTCAATTACAGAGAACTTTTATATATATATATTTGAACTTAAGCTAAATGAAGTAGGTTAGAAAAAACTTCATAATGCTGTCGGGGAAGGGGCTCGTTGTTATGTATATTTCAGAACGTTTAAGAAACATGCACAGTAAAATGTTAAATAGAAAAAGCATAAAAACTCAAAGTGAAAAAGGAGAAGAATATCCTAGTAATTTATAAAAAATAAGTGGTGCTTTAAGAATGCCCAAGCTCTGTTTTTTGTCCCCTTTGCTCTTTTTTCCCCCTTCTTCTTTCCAGGCCCTGCTGGCCTAATCCCAGCCAGCCAGCCTTGGGTGAACTCTTTGGAAGCTTCTTAAGCCCATGAATGTGCCTTTTGTTCCTGCCATTCCTCCGCTTGGCTGACAGAAAATAGCTAACTGGATTACTGCTAAAATTCAAAGTAAAGTGAACTCCCAAACTTCTATATGGCAAAGTGCTAAGAGAGCACCCCCCTTCATCCTCCTACTATCCTCATCAGCATCCCTCCGATCAGACGTTCAATCCTTCCCTCCCTCCCTCTGTCATCTCTTTCTATCTCCCTGCTCCACCAACATCCCCCTAAACATGGCCCAGTGGTGTGTGATCTGCAGGAGAGGAGAGGAGGGGGATTAGATAAGGTTGAGAGGTTGCACACTATGAACCAGAGGCTAAAAAGTAAGAATCCTAAAAGCAGTTAAGAGCTTATTAATGTGTGTAAGGAAGCGTATTAATCAACTCAACTCTATCAGGGGCCTGGTGTGTGTATGTGTGAGTGCTAGTTTCAGTGAATTTATGTTGTAAAAAGTGAAATGCACAATGTCATTTTAAGGGTTTGATGGATGTAAATATGAAGAAAGACAGGGGGTAATTCAACGTTGGTTATTTTATGTCTAATCATTGATTTCATTAAATTATAAGGAGATAAGGTATCTATATACGAGTGTGTCTTTCTGAATGGTTCTGTGCAGGTGGTCTGGCAGCTCAGCGGGACTTAGAGTGTGAGGTGTTGGGACTTAAAAAGATTTGGTGTGTGTTTGTGTGTGTGTGTGTGTGTGTGTGTGTGCACGGGTCCTGGGCGGGTATAAAAAAAGGAGATGAAAACAGCCCTACTAAAGAGGTTTGATTTGAACCACCACCCACCCTGGGCAACAGAGATGAAGGAGAAAAATACACACACACACACACACACACACACACACACACACACACACACACACACCACACACACACACACACACACACACACACACACACACACACACACGTCACAACCAAAGTTCTTTTTCCACGTCTTAACTCTTTTGTCTGGTGGTCTGTGTGTGCCTTTGCATAGCTGTGTGTGTGTTTCTGCGTGTGTGTGCGGGTGTGCATGTGACAGCTCACTCTGGGGCCGACAGAGGCAGAGCATTGGAGAGTAGACGGTGTAGGAGATGGCATGGGCGCTAGGGAAGGTCACACACACTAACATCCCGCTGACTTCTGGGTCAAAGGTCAAAATTCAAGGGGCACCGACACAGGGCCGACTTGCTCACTCATTAATCTTTATCCCGAGTCTTGCAATCTCTGCATCTAAGGACAAGTGTATTTGGTTGGATAGCTAAAGCCTCTGCATGACCCAGACTTTTCTGGTTAATGAGGATCATTTTGTATTAGCGTGCTGGACTGAAATAACAGACATCGAGAGCTCACTTAATCATATATCTTTCCATTTCTTAAATGCAGAAAAGGGACTTAGCGTGGCACTTGGCTGGAAGGGGATTTCCTTCAGTTAATCATTATGTTTTCTGTCCTGACTTATTTCTCATGGGGATGTAAAAAAGCACAGTTTGTCCAACACATTGCTGTTCGAAAAAGACACACAAGTGCAGCAAATCGCCTTTGTCTCTTTTCATCTGACCCTGTCCTGCATGCATTATGCTGGCAAGTTGAATGCAAGATGGCAATATTATTGTATGCTACATTTGAAATATGGAAACCCTTGGTTGGGATTGTATTAATGCTCTAACACTGCTAACATTAAGGCATGAGGGAATTAAAAGAAGAGCTACAGCTGTATATTTCAAACTTACTTTGAAAACAAGTTGTTAATACCTCGCCCATTGTTTTTAATGGTTTATATTTCTTAACTGAGTTCTGCCTGAGTTTTTTTTACGTTTCTCAATTCAATTCAGCTGCAAAACAAATGTTCCCTCAGGGGTAAAAAGATTAAGTTGAAGTTGAAGGTGATGTATGTAAAAGTCATGAAGTCATCAAGAATTTAATTCAGAAGGGAAAGTTATATGACTTAAAATAAAAATAAATATACAAGGGGCAAAAGTGTTGCTTATTTTGACTTAATTTCTGTAAAAAATAAAAAAATATATATTTTCCTATGATCTTCATGTCATATAGTGTATAGCATGTCATCAGTTGTATGATGGGGAAACCGGCAGACATGTACAGAAAATGTGTCAGTCAGACAGAACTGCGGCTAATTATCCCTTATTAGAGTGTGTGTGAAGGAAAAATCTGCATTAAAGGCTTACACCACACCACCCGCTGGAACCACAGCAATCTTAAGCCTTGTCAGACACCAGGGGCTGACATATTTTACTCACACCCAGACACCCACACACGTACATGCATCACTGTGACACTACTGCCACCGATCAAAAAAAGCGAAATAAGAGATGATAGTAGTGAATTTTGACACTACTCTCATTTATCTGTGTGATGGGACAGTCTTACTTGGAGTATCCTTAATCTTTCAAATATTCTTGAGAGGGAGGTTTCTAAGAAGTTAAAAAATGTGTCTGGCCCTCATGGAGACTACAAATTCTGAACGCCCAAAAACTGGACCTGACTGTGAAGAGGACAGCATTGTTTAATATCTCATCTCTTTGTCTATATTTATTTTCACATTTGAACTAGATTTATGCTAAGGGTGACTTTCTTTGTATTACCACAAGGTAAACAGAACCTAGAGCCTGTGTGTGTGTATGTGTGTGTGTGTGTGTGTGTGTGTGTGTGTGTGTGTGTGTGTGTTTTGTATATGTATATAAGAGTACGTGTGTGTATTATTAGGGGGTGTACAGTCAGTGTGGCATGATAAGAATGTTGCAGTGTGTTTGCAGAGTGTGTATTATGGAGATAATAATCCCAGCGGTCAACAAGAGTGAAGGGCCAAAGCTGCACTGACCAGCCCACCATCTGAGTGAGAGAAAGAGAGAGGGAGAGGAAGAGAGAGAGAGAGAGAGAGAGAGAGAGAGAGAGAGAGGGAAAGAGGAAGAGAGGGAGGTGGCCATGTGGTTAACACTTGCTCACTGAGAGGCGACTGGAGCAGGGCCAACCTCTTCACACACAGGCTGACCACACAAGAGCCTCTCTTTCTCCCTCTGCCTCCCATCCTCCCATCATCCCTCGTTACCTAACATTTCCTTCCATAGCTTCCTAAGCTAGCCGCCTCCCACCTTCCTAAACCTTCCTTGCATCTTCTGCCGCTTCCAAACCAGCCCGCTTCCCTCCCTCTTATTTTCTCACTTATGTCTCTTCTCTTACCTCCTCCCACGACCCTAAACTGTCACTCTGTCCACCTCCCCCATCATGTCTGCTTTTGATGAACATATTTCCTTCTGTCCTCCATCCCGGCTCTCCCATCGCTTTCTTTCTACCTTCCTTTTCTGTCTCTCCTCGCTGTCTTCATCACTTCATCCCTCCCTCCCTCCCTCCCTCCCCGACTTACCCGTACTGGGATCCGTTCGGTCTCTGTCTCCTTCTGCGGGTTACGGTACTTCTCATAGAACTCTCTCTTCTTTTTGCCATCCTTATCGTCCTTTCGTTCCCTTTTTTCAGCGGGTTCGTCCGAGGGTTCAGTGGGGGAGGGCAGGGGAGAAGACTTGGCTGGCTTCTCCATCTCCAGGTAGTTCTCGTTGGGGTTGAGCACCATCACGCCGTAGCCTTCCTGAAACAGACAAGAAACAAACACGTGTAGTTAAGTTTAAATTAATCCATGTGATACCTTCATGAGATATGTGAAAATATCTATAATTGTCTTTATAATTGATTTCTATTTTAATGAAGACTATTTGTAGAAACAAAGTAGCCTATTGTGCAAAATAAAAAGTTGAAATTAAGCAGCTCAAAAAAGGGAGTAATGCAGCAAACCTTTAGTGGCAAAAGGGTCAATATGTGCAAACATATACAGTATATATTAATTTTACAAATACTAAAGTAGTTTGTGTTTTTCCTTATTTTCAACTTTTACAAAGGTTTGGATTTTCCTTCTGAAATGTTTCAATATAAACCTAGTTAAGCAAAACAGTGTTATTTAGTTTTCTCTTTTACTTAAATCCCCTAAAATACTCACTTTGTAAATCTTAGAGTTAAAGAAGGTTTATCAAAGCATTTCAATTTGCTTTGAAGCTCAAAGACTTTAATTCCCAGTCTATGTGTATACTGGCTCATTGTGTTTTTAAAAAGAGCACTGTAACTGAGAAATCCCCAAAATAATCATAAGAAACATTTAAAGGACAAATTCTGAGGTGAGTAGGGGGAGATTTAAAATCAGATTGAAAGAAATGGCAGAGGAAGGGACGGGCGAGCGAGTGTCACCGTGGGGAGAAGCCTGAGAAACAACCGGGGAATTGGAATTCAGCTACAGCTGTCTCAGTCGGAGAGTAGCATTTAGTGACTCCAAAGGCCATGTGTCACTTAATATCCAACTCTATTGATCCCAGCATCACTCAACAAAAGAGTTAGCCACAAATGCAGACGTACATTTGCATGTATGCTTGTTTGTGCGTACTGCAGGACTTACAACTTCTACAGCTTACATTTTAAAAAGGTTAAAAAAACCATATTGGAAATATAAATTTCCAATATAAATTTCCAATATTATAAATTGTGAATAGTGCACTTCTTCTACCAAAAATGAAAAGAAGAGTCATAGTAAAATGAAAGCAAAAACACAAATGGTTATCAGGAGAAAAGAATGACTGAGGGGAAATTGATTGTGGAGAAAAGGAAGTTTTCCTGAAGCCTTGGGTGACTTCTTCAACTTGGAGCCTTTTTAATTAACTGTGTTTATTGTCCCAAGCACTCAGAAACTAAAGCAGGAAATGGATGGATTCCTGTTTCACTTTGGTTGTGCTTTTCACACACAACCCCCATTGTGAATACACACACACTCCACTAAAGACTCAAACTCAAATGCACAGACACATACAGGTATATACACATTAAGAAAACACGGCAATGAAAGATATCAGTCTGGACAAAAACAAAAAAAAAAAGTTTTAGAAAATGTGAGAAGGAGTAAGGTTAGGAAGCAGTGCTGAGCTTCCTCTGCAACACACACACAGACACACATACAGCAACACACTATCTTCTCAAGGCGACTCGTCTTTAATAAGTGTTAACACAATGTGCTTGTTTTTTCTGTTGACGCTGCATGAGTGTGTGTACGTCCTGTGCCCATCGGCATCAAACCTGCCACACACCCCTTCCCTTAGCACCTGCAGTGTGTTGACAACGTCAAACTGACACTTTCTCACTTACTCAGATTATAAAATTAGTCTGATTCTCACTCCTTTTAAATTCAGACAAGCCTCTCCATCAAGCACTTGACATGTTCATGATGTAAAACTTGAATGAAATATAATTGAATTAAGAAAACAAGATCAAATTGCCAGATATAACATTTGAATAATCCGTTTTGAAATTACAAATACAATCTTAAATTTTCATACAGCAGTTAAAGATTTTTCTGCTTCATATTAGACTCTAGATAATGACTCTAAGGCACAACACGTCTAATGATAATTTTGAAAATGATTTATGACTTGAAAAAAGTGTCTGCAAATTCAAGCCAGATGAAGTTTCTCCAAACCTGTTTTATAATCTGTGCCGTGTAATAAGTGGAGGTAAAGAGGTAATGGATGTGGATCTATCGTCTTAATTCTGCCTTCAGATATCAAAGAGGCATTTACACACAAACAGATACATTCAGAGACACTCACATTCAGACAGAAGGATAGCCCAGTTTAAAAAGAAGTATTGAGAGAAAGAGAAAAGAGAGGAAAGAGACAAATAAGTGAAACATTTTAGAAGTAGAAATAAGGGATATACATTGAAAAGAAAATAATAAGTAAAAGAAAGAGAAGGAGAGAGGGACAGAGAGATTTATCCTAACCAGACCCACACCAGCTT